TGGCCGCCGGCCCAGATTCCAGCATCATGCGCTACGTATTCCTCCCTCCTTTCTTCTTGTTTGAAGCCAAACAAGCTGGTTAGTTATCAGAGAGCATGAATGGCCTCCAACCACACAACGGCGCTGAACCGGGTGAAACAGTTGCAATTTTGGGGGGCACGAAACGGGCTCTACAGAGGAGCCATGTCTGTGCCGTGCTCAAGGATTTCATTGGGGTCTTCAAGTAAGCAGATAACACGACCACCTCACCCACTTCATAGGAAACCTGCTACAAAACAGGAGCTTTTTTGTTGAGTTCCAGGGCCAGAGAAGCAGATGGCGAAAACAGAAGAATGGCCTGCCTCAGGGGAGCGTGCTTGCTCCATCAATGTTTAACATTTACACAAATGACCAGCCACTGCCAGAAGGGACAGAGAGTTTAATCTATGCTGATGATCGTGCCATCACCGCCCAAGCAGGGAGCTTTGAGATGGTTGAATAGAAGCTCTCTGAAGCTTTAGGTGCTGTTACTGCCTATTACAGGGAAAGCCAGCTAATTCCTAATCCATCTAAAACAGAGATGTGTGCTTTTCATCTTAAGAACAGACAAGCATTTCGAGCTCTGAGGATGATCTGGGAAGGAATCCCATTGGAGCATTGCAGCCCACACAAATACCTGGGAGTTATCCTGGAGCATACTCTGACTTACAATAGCAGTGCTTGAATATCGAGGAAAACGTTGGTGCTAGAAACTATATCGTACAAAAGCTGACTGGCACAACCTGGGGATCACAACCAGACACAGTGAAGACATCTGCCCTTGCACTTTGCTGCTTTGCTCCTGAGTGCGCATGCCTGGTGTGGAACATATCTCACCACATTAAAACAGTGGCTGTGGCTCTTAATGAGACATGTTGCATTATCACAGGATTCCTATGCCCTACACCACTGCAGAAATTACACTGTTTAGCCGGTATTGGCATGCCTGGTGTGGAACATATCTCACCACATTAAAACAGTGGCTGTGGCTCTTAATGAGACATGTTGCATTATCACAGGATTCCTATGCCCTACACCACTGCAGAAATTACACTGTTTAGCCGGTATTGTACCACCTGACATCTGTCAGGAAATAGCAGCCAATAATGAAAGGACCAAGGCAGCGACATCTCCAGCCTATCCCTTGTTTAGATATCAACCAACATGCCAGTGCCTTAAATCAAGAAATAGTTTTCCAAGATCTACAGAGATACTTGCAGGAACACCTCAGTAAGCAAGAGTCCAAAAGTGGCAGGCGAAAATCCGGAACCTCAATCCATGGCTGATATTGAATGAGAGAGTCCCCTCTGGGCACACAAAAAACTGGGTTACTTGGAAGGTGCTGAACACACTGCGCTTTGGCACCACGAGATGCAAAGCCAACTTTAAGAAATGCGGCCACAAAGTGGAGTCCACGACAGTCTCTCCCTTTTTTTGCTAGATAGGATGGGCATTGAACACGCAAACTTTTCCATCCAGATGTGCACCAGCTACTCAGAACCTTGTTTGAGCTGCAGAAGATGGGCATTTGATCCTCAACTTTCAACTCGCTAAGCAGATGTTTTGCCCCACTGTTTTTCTCCAAGAGAGGAAGAAAGCATCCAGATGTGCTTCACAGGTTGGCAGGAGGCTTGGTTGAACTTCTGCCGCTCTCTTGGGGGAAAGGCCTGCTTGTCGTTGGGATTCCTTCCATCTCTATATTTCTCTTGCAAATACTCTGCAAATTGACTCTGGTTTTGCGGGTCACGAGCTCCGGGCCTCGGGCTTCTGCAGCTGTTCCCAACCAAAACAAGTTTCCATCTGTTTTCTGTTTCTCCAAGAGCTAATGATTGAAGTCCCAGAAGAAGCAGATTTTTCTAAAACACTCGTTTTGGAAACACAAGGCTTTGAAGCCCCTTTTGCCTCTATAGGACAGAAACCAGAAATGGATGCTATTCATTAATTATACAAATATTTGTTTATTGTTTTTTCACATTCATAATACCATTCACATCTTTCGTAATTTCCAGTTACACAACACTACTTAATTTCCTTACCGCAACTACCAGGCTCCCCCTTGTTTACATTGATTTAATCGACTCTTTGTTAACCGGAACTATTAAGCAACCGGCCAAAACAATCAAATTCTTTAAATAAAAGGTAAAGCTTTCCCCTTGACATTAAGCAGAGTAATTTTCAATGGTAAGCAAACAGTATTTTGCCCCCCCCCCCCAACCAATCACTGATATATATTTTCTGTTCGTCTTGGGAGTTCTGCATGCCATATTTGGTTCAATTCCATCATTGGTGGAGTTCAGAATGCTCTTTGATTGTAGGTGAACTATACATCCCTTTGATTGTAGGTGAACTATACAACGCTGTAGGAGCGTTAACTACAACTCACATATGTCAAAGTCTATTTTTTCCCAAGAGCGCCTCAAGAGCGCCCCTGGGCAAAATCAACTATTTTGCAAATGCTTACTTTGCGTAATAGGTTGAGCCACCCCTTAAGTCTAGTCATGCCTGACTCTGTGGGTTGGTGCTCATCTCCATTTCTAAGACAAAGAGCCAGCATTGTCTGTAGACACCTCCAAGATCATGTGGCCAGCATGCGTCAAGACCCAGAAGCCTTAAAGAAGCCAAACACAAAATGCAGAGTCCAAACACAGTTTTATTGTTCACAAAATAGTCTTTGAAGCACTTACTCCCTCCTGACCTTTCGTAAGAGAGTGTAAACCTGGCTCTTCGAGCAGGCATTCGGAACCCCGGAATAGTCAAGCTTGAGATGGAGAATGACCCAGGCCAAGACGATGAAACGGATGAGGATTGGAATGAGAGGATATAGCTCTTTTAAAATTGTTATTGCACTGTCTTTTTTGTCTAAATGCACTTAATTGTTTTTGCTTTTGTATTGTATTGATGGCATCGAATTGTGCCGATATGTAGACCGCCCTGAGTCGCCTGCGGGCTGATATAAGCGGGATATAAGTGATGTAAATAAATAAATAATAAATAAATACTTCAGTGCCTTAGGTTCAAATTAAGTGTTGATATCAAAAACAAGGTGAAAAAAGCAACTGAAATATAATCCGGATTATATAATCCAGTATTCAGCAATCTGCTTTAAACTCACACAGTTCACAGGAGGTACAAAGGCACAATAGGAACAGGCAAAAATACAGTCCAAAAATGGTCCGAAGTCGTAGCACAATGCAAGGAAGTTGACAAAGTCCAAGAGGCAAAAACGCGTTGTCCAAAACGGTCCGGAGTCAAAGCAGTAGAGTAGAAGTCGTTATTCACGGAATCACAAGAAGTAAACACAGGAACACAGGAATCTGTGGTCCAAGGACCCAAGCTCGAGAATTGGCAGTAACAAAGATTCACACCCCAAAAGAGATTTTGCCTTCTGCAAAGATCCATGCAAACAATACCCACTTTTATCCTAAAGTTCCTCATCAGAAGATGAGGTGCTCCCCACCCTTTCATCATCGCTCTCAGCTGCCCCATTCCCTGCAGCTGAACCCGAACGCCCATCCCTCCACCTCTGCCAGCATCTGTCAAGACTTAGATCTTGCCAAGTGCTCCCCGGTTGCCATTCCTCTGTAAACCCCTCAAAGTCATCGCTGGAGGTAGGTTGGGTACAGATATCCCTAATCTCCTGTACACGGGTCCAATCGGTCCCATACTCCTCCCCCATGTCACTCCCAGACCCATCACTCCCTTCAAAGCCCATGAAGTCCTCGTCCTCTGTAGGAGCGTTAAGTATATCACGGATACGCTTCCTTTGAGTTTCCTCGTCAGAGTCTGGATCGCGAGTAACCCGCTTGACTCCCCTGCTTTCCTCCCCATCTCCCATTTCACAGTCGGAGAAGCCCTCAAAGGTTTCAGAATCACTCGGGGCCATGATTATCTCTCTAATCCGCTTTCGCTGCTCCTCCTTTTCCAACACCTGCGCAGCCCTCTTCTCCCTCCTACCAGTAGTAGCAACGTTACCATTAGCAGAACTACAACAGCATGACTGCATGGTCACCGTTACCTTCCCGCAGAAGCGATACCTATTGATCCGCTCAATGCCTGTATACCATATATATTCGAGTATAAGCCGACCCGAATATAAACCGAGGCACATAATTTTACCACAAAAACTGGGAAAATGTATTGACTCGAGTATAAACCTAGGGTGGGAAATACAACAGCTATTGGTCAGTTTCAAAATAAAAATAGATACCAATAAAATTACATCAATTGAGGCATCAGAACGTTAAATGTTTTTGAATATTTACATAACACTCTGATTCTAACCTTCTTCAATGTAAATGTGCTTATGTATCCTTCCAATAAGAATAAAGAGAGTAACATAATGTAATAATAAGTTCTTGTGGGTTTTTTCGGGCTATAGGGCCATGTTCTAGAGGCATTTTCTCCTGACGTTTCGCCTGCATCTATGGCAAGCATCCTCAGAGGTAGTGAGGTCTGTTGGAACTAGGACAATGGGTTTATATATCTGTGGAATGGCTGGGGTGGGGCAAAGAGCTCTTCTCTGCTGGAGCTAGGTGTGAATGTTTCAACTGACCACCTTCATTAGCATTTGAAGGCCTGGCTGAGCCTGGGAAAATCTTTTGATGAGAGGTGTTAAGATGTGCCTGGTTGTTTCCTCTCTGCTGTTTTGCTGTTGTAATTTTAGAGTTTTTTTTAATACTGGTAGCCAGATTTTCATGGTCTCTTCCTTTCTGTTGAAATTGTCCACATGCTTGTGGATTTCAATGGCTTCTCTGTGTAGTCTGACCAAAGAAGTCAGCCATAGCAGAGCACCTGATGAACCAGCCTGGACACAGCATATTATTTGAGAACACAGAAATGCTGGACCACACCAACAACCACCATGTCAGATGATTCCAGCCATGAAAGCCTTCGACAATAATGTAATAATACTTGTACTTGTATTGCAACTGTTTAATTTCCAGAATGTAATTGGTGATTGCATTGGGTTGTTTTTCCTGCAGGAAACTCCCACTTCCAAGCTGGAAAAGGCAGCCGAAGCTGAGCAGAAGAGTCTGGCCGAGGAATCGGGAGACGAGACGCTGCCTTCCAGCGAGAAGGAAGAGGAGCAGACGTTCCTGGTCAACCTCTACAGGTTTATGAAGGATCGGCACACGCCCATCGAGAGGGTGCCTCACCTGGGTTTCAAGCAGAGTACGTACGTCCCTGAATGCATTTCTTGCACATTTGAGAAACCAATTGCCATGTCTATGAAAGGCCAACCTGTGGGTTTGCAGAGGGCAGATCCTAAATCAGAGGTTCTCAAACGCTTTAAACTGAGGACTGGTTTGCTGCCCTTCAGGACGGTTGGGGGACCGTACTATGATTTGGAAAAAAACAAAAACAAAACAACAACAACAACAAGAAAACTTTATTTATACGCTGCTACCATCTCCCCAAGAGACTCGGTGCGGCTTACATGAGGCCAAGCCCACAGTACATCAATAACAAAAGCAATAATAACAACAATCAATACAATACAATTAATATAATCACATAAACAATAAATAGTAACACACAAGCATTTAAAAACTTATGGCTGGGCCAAATGTAATAGTTTAAAATTTAATTTTTTTTTTAAAAAACAACAAATTCCTCTGCACACTGCGCAGCGTATTCTATATACTAATTGTATTACATAATTATTATATTATAATATTATAGTAGAACTATAATTATAGAATATAGAATTATATATTATATAATTATGCAATACAATTAACTATAGTAATTATAATTATATAATTATAATTATATAATATTATATAATTATATGTAATATATAATTAAATTATATCTATATAAATAAAAATGTAATGTTCATTTGTGGGATTAACATAACTCAAAAACCACTGGACGAACTGACACCAAATTTGGGCACAATACACGTATCAGGCCAACAAGTGACCATCACTCATAAAAGCACTGAAAAACACAGCAGAAGAGACTTAAAAAGCCAAAAAATAAAAAATACATTACAACGCATGTGCAAAACCATATATACGCAAACACACGTATATACACAAATATACACACATACATATACACACTTAAACACACACAAAGCACATCTACACAGACTGGGCCACAGCAATGTGTGGCAGGGGACAGCTAGTATTATTATATTGGACTCCCTGATGGTGCAGCGGGTTAGACTGCTGAGCTTCTGAACGTGCTGACTGAAAGGTTGGTGGTTCGAATCCGTGGAGCAGGATAAGCTTCCTCTGTTAGCCCAGTTCCTGCCAACTTAGCAATTTCAAAACATTCAAGTGTGAGTAGATCAATAGGTACCGCTTTGGTGAGAAAGTAATGGCACTTCATGCAGTCATGCTGGCCACATGACCTTGGAGGTGTTTACAGACAATGCCAACTCTTCGGCTTAGAAATGGAGATAGCACCACCTGCCAAAGTTGGACGTGACTAGACTTAATGTCAGGGGAAGACCTTTACCTTTACCTTTTATTATTATATTTATTATTATATTATAATTGTATTTTTATATTACATTTCATTTTATATTATAATTATATGTATTATTCTATTGATATTTTTGCATTACATTATGATAATGATATTATATTATTATAATTGTATTCTAATATTTTTATATTACATTTAAAATGAAGAACATAACCTAAAATCTGGAGCTTTTGAACTGAGAAAAATTGGCTCTCTTGTCCAATTAATATTTCCCCCAAATCTGTTTTCCCCAGTGCTTGAAAGGAATCATTCCAAGAAGTGTTATCACACACTTTCGCTAAAAGAAGGGTGAAAAAAAATCACCTTATCTCTGACCTTTGTAAACTATGCTGATTATTATACCATCTGGATAGATTCTTATTTGTTGTTGGGTTTCTCTGTTTTGGCTAGGGTGTGTTATTTATACATGCCATCGGAGCTCATCATATTATCCACTGTTATTGGAAGTTTTATTTATCCATGCTATTTGGCACTATCATATATCCCCAGTGTTGCCCGGGTTTGCAATTTCTTTGTGGCTCTTTCCTTCCTTCCTCCATTTCCCTCAAATACTTTTTCCTGCTCCCTTTCCTTCCATTCTTTTCTTCTTCCCTTGCTTTCCCTCATACTCTTCCCTTCCCTTCTTTCCCCTCCCCTCCCCTTCCTTTCCCTCCCCTCCGCTTCCCTCCCCTCCCCTCCCCTTCTTTTCCCTTCTTTTCCCTTTCTACTCCTTCCCTCCCCTTCCCTTCTTTTCCCTTCTTTTCCCTCTCCTCCCCATCTCTTCCCTCCCCTTCTTTCCCCTCCCTCCCCTTCTTTCCCTTTCCTTCCCTCCCCTTCCCTTCTTTTCCCTTTGTTTCCCTCTCCTCCCCTCTCTCTTCCTTCTCTCCCTTCCTCCCTTCTTCCCTCCCTCCCCTTCTTCCCTTCCTTTCCCCCCTTCCTTCTTTTCCCTTTCCTTCCTCCCTTTTCTTTCTTCTCTCCTTCCCTCCCCTTCCCTTCCTTTCATTTTCCTTCCCTCTCCTTCCCTTTCCTCCCCTTCTTTTCCCTTCCCTTCCCTCCGCTTCCCTTCTTTCCCCTTCCCTTCCTTTCCCTCTTCTCCTCTTCCTTCCCCTCCCTCCCTTCTTTCCCCTTCCTTCCTTTCCTCTTCTCCTCTCCTTCCTCCCCTCCCCTTCTTTTCCCTTCCCTCTCCTTCCCTCCCCTTCTTTTTCCTTTCCCCCTTCTTTTCCCTCTCCTTCCCTCCTCTTCCCTCCCCTCCCCTTCTTTTCCCTTCCCTTCCCTCCCTTCTCTTCTTTACCCTTTTCCCCTTCTTTTCCCTTTGTTTTTCTTCATTTCCCTTCCCCCTTCCCCTTCTTCCCCTTCCCTTCCCTCCCCTCCCTCCCTTCCTTCTTTCCCTCTCCTTCTTTCCCTCTCTCCCCTCCCCTTCTTCCCCTCTCCTCCCTCCCTTTCCTTTCTTTTTTCTTTCCTTTTCCCTCCCTCCCCTCCCTCCCCTTCTTTTCCCTCTCCTTCTCTTCTTCCCTCCCTTCTTTTCCCTTCCCTCCCTTCTTTTCCCTTCTCTCCCCTTCCCTCCCCTTCCCTTCTTTTCCCTCCCTCCCTCTCCTGTCTCTCCCCTCCCCTTCTTTTCCCTTCCCCTTCCTTCCCTCCCCTTCCCTCTCCTTCTCTTCCCTCCCTTTCCCCTCCTCTCCCCCTCCCCTCCCCACTTTAAATTATTTTTCAGAAAGTTGCACGTTTCTGCATATTTTCTATGAAGTTGCTCTTTAAGGCCCATTCTTGCCCCAAAGCCTTGTCGTGTACTATTTCTTTCAATTCATTCACTTGTTCTTTTATTTTCCCACAGTTAACCTCTTTAAGATCTACAAAGTTGTGGAAAAGATGGGAGCTTACGAACTGGTAAGAAGGCGGAAACCAATTATAGCATTAATGCCGTTTGATCCCACTTTAACTGTGTCTACACTGTAGAATGAATGCAGTTTGATACTTCTTTAGCCAGTGTTTCTCATCCTAGGGATCAGGATTCCTGGGGGGGGGGTCACAAGGGGGGGGGGTTCAGAGGCGTCGACAAAGACCTCCAGAAAACATATATTTCTGATGGTCTTAGGAACACCTTTGGAAGAGAAGGTTGAAAATCCCTCCGTCTGTCATACTTTTCCTTTTTGGAAACAGAGGGCGAAAAAGCCCTCCCACCAAAAGCCCTCCTCTGCTGTGATTGGAGGGCATCTCAGCCAAGCGTAGGGTTGTTTCTGAGACTCCAAGCAGGGGAGGGGAGAGCAGGCGTGCTCGGTGCATGCCAGCGTGGTGCGCATGTGTGGGCAAGGGAGAGCGTGTGAGGCCGGAGGGAGGCTTGCACCAGCGAGTCCCTTCAAGGCACAGGGGTTCTGTGTGGGAAATTTGGCCCTATTCTATCATTCGTGGGGTTCGGAATGCTCTTTGTAGGGGAACTATAAATCCCAGGAACTACAACTCCCAAATGTCAAGGTCTATTTTTCCCAAACTCCACCAGTGTTCACATTTGGGCATATTGCTTATTTGAGCCAAGTTTGGTTCAGATCCATCATTGTCTAAGTCCACAGTGCTCTCTGGATGTAGGTGAACTACAACTCCAACACTCAAGGTCAATGCCCACCAAACCCTTCTAGTATTTTCTGTTGGCCTGTGATTGCAACCTGGGGAAATCTACCCAATTGCAAGATGCAAGGCCCAAATAGATTCATGCAAACTAACAGTGCAAGAAAAAGAAATTCAAATCTCCTGGCACTGCCGTGCCAGCACAGCCAAAGTCTCAAGGAACTACACCTCCCATGATCCCATCGCATCTAAGCCAGTGTTTCTCAACCTGGGGGTCGGGACCCCTGAGGGGGTCGCGAGGGGTTGTCAGAGGAGTCGCCAAAGACCATAAGAAAACACAGTATTTTCTGATGGTCATGGGGATTCCATGTGGGAAGTTTGAGCCAATTCTATTGTTGGTGGAGTTCAGAATGTTTTTTGATTGTAATGAACTATAAGTCCCAGCAACTACAACTCCCAAATGTCAAGATCTATTTTCCCCAGACTCCACTAGTGTTCACATTTGGGCATATTGAGTATTCGTGCCAAATTTGGTCCAGATCCACCATTGCATGAGTCCACAGTGCTCTCTGGATATAGGTGAACTACAACTCCCAAACTCAAGGTCAATGCCCATCAAACCCTTCCAGTGTTTTCCATTGGTCATGGGAGCCAAGTTTGGTTCCAGTCCATCGTTGGTAGAGTTCAGAATGCTCTTTGACTGTACGTGAACTATAAATCCCAGCAACTACAACTCCCAAATGACAAAATCAAGCCCCCCAAGCCCACCAATATTCAAATTTGGGCATATCAGGTATTTGACAAGTGAATGAAAATACACCCCGCATATCATATATTTACATGATGATTCATAATAGTAGCAAAATTACATTTATGAAGTAGCAGCGAAAATAATGTTATGGTTGGGGGTCACCACAATGTGAGGAACTGTATTAAGGGGCTGTGGCATTAGGAAGGTTGAGAAACACCGACTTTAGCTGTCATAGCTCAATACGATGGGATCATGGGATGTGTAGTTCCTTGAGACTTTGTCTGTGCTGGCACGGCTGTGCCAGGAGATTTGAATTTCTTTTTCCTGCACTGTTAGTTTGCATGAATCTATTTGGGCCTTGCATTTTGCAATTGGGTAGCTTTCCCCAGGTTGCAATCATAGGGCCAACAACCTATCAATCATCATTAGAGCCTTTAGATCTGCCCCTTTCCCCAGGGTTTGGAGGGAAAAGGGGACTTTCAATTCAGTCTCACAGTTTGGAGCCTTACAGCAGGACGTGTGGGCTTTTCGCTTCTTACAGCTTTGCTGGGGGGAAAGGAAAACCTCTACAGCTCTGCTGGGGTTAAATAAATAGATCTATAGCCAACTTTTGCTGGGGGGAAAGGGAAGACCTCTACAGCTTTGCTGGGGAGTAAAGTTACAGTTCCACAGCTTTGCTGGAGGAATATAGCCAGCCTTTGCTGGGCAAAAGAAATCGTTCCTACAGCCTTCGTGGAGAAACTAAAAGGACACTAGCTTGGCAGATCTACAGCAACCATTGCCTGGTAAGGGACCACTCGGGCTATCCATAACGCAGCTTGGAGCTGGGAGTTGGGGCCTCACGCCCAAAGATTTCCCAAGGAGGGGTTGGAAGGTTTCCCTAAAGAAGATAGAAACAGTTTATCAAGCAGTTGCCTGTCCCTTTTCGGCAGATCGAGAAAGCTACCAGTTTTTCAAGATTATACAGCATTTAATTCATTTGTTCGAAGATTTAAGCCTTAATAAAGAACTTTGTTGAACCTATTTTGAGCCTCTACAGAACTTTGTGTTGGGAAACCTATGGGACCCTTTAGCCGAGGCACCCTGGTGTCCCGTTGGGCATACAGAAAGCACGTCCTGTAAACAGACATTGTCATAGGCCCAGCACGCGACAGCACAAAAGGCTAGAGACATTGCAAAACTATATCTCCCACGATTCCATAGCACTGAGCCACAGCATTAAGGTGGTGTCGAACTGCATTAATACTACAGTGTGGTTGCATCCTTACTCAAAAAATGAAAGGTCAATGTTTGCGCAAAACGTCTTCTTAAAAGTTTTCTAAATTGAATACCCAGAGTTACAAATGCAAACATTGGTGTTTTGATGCCAAAATTAGGCTAGGAACAGCTCTCTGAATGAACCTTTTGAAGAATTAAGAAAGCCATTGAAAATCACACGAAATAGAAAACGTTCTGTTCCTGATCCTACAGGGTTCACAGTCTAAATATCTAAAGATCATGGAAAGGGACCAATCAATGGAAGTCTGTTGGAAAGCAATAAAAGTTAGTGGCAGAAGCTATAAAGATTTTTATCTTTGGGTAACTTCAATCATTTCCAAAGACAAGAGCCAATGTTTTTGCCCACAAGCTTCTGGGAAGTTTGCTCAACCTTCTTGTTGCAAAGATAAGAGCCTTCTGTTCTGTTGTTGCCTTTGAAGAAATGTGATTTTTTAAAGAGAGGGAAATAGCAAGGAGTTATTCTTTTGGAAGTGTGGAGGACTTGGAAAGTGGTGCTTCAAAAAAGTAACTTTTCCAAACACCGTTTTCTCCCCAGAAGCATCCTAAGAATCATGGGTAACAGTATTATTATATCTATTATCATTATAATATAATATAATATAATATAATATAATATAATAGTATATTACAATATAATAATAATACAATATAATCATATTATTACTATATCTAATATCATCATTATTATATCTAATATAATAATAATAATAATAATAATAATAATAATAATCTATATAAATAAAAATGTAATGTTCATTTGTGGGATTAACAGAACTCAAAAACCACTGGATGAATTGACACCAAATTTGGACACAAGACACCTATCAGGCCAATGTATGTCCATCACTCAAAAAATTGATTTTGTCATTTGGGAGTTGTAGTTGCTGGGATTTATAGTTCATCTACAATCACAGAGCATTCTGAATCCCGCCAACGATGGAATTGAAACTCTACACGAATTCTAAATATACCAAAATGTGAACACTGCTGGAGTTTGGGGAAAATAGAATCTTGACATTCGGGAGTTGTAGTTGCTGGGATTTATAGTTCATCTACAATCACAGAGCATTCTGAACCCCACCAATGATGGAATTGAACCAAACTTGGCACACAGTTCTCCCATGACCAACAACAGAAAATACTGGAAGGGTTTGGTGGGCAGTGTCCTTTGGTTTTGGAGTTGTAGTTCACCTACATCCAGAGAGCACTGTGGACTCAAACAATGATGGATCTGGACCAAACTACACGAATACTCAATATGCCCAAATGTGAACACTGGTGGAGTTTGGGGAAAATAGAATCTGACATTCAGGAGTTGTAGTTGCTGGGATTTATAGGTCATCTACAATCACAGAGCATTCTGAACCCCACTAACGATAGAATTGGTCTAAACCTCCCACACGGAACCCCCATGTAGGCACAGCAACGCGTGGCAGGGGACGGCTAGTACAATATAATCATATTATTACTATATCTAATATCATCATTATTATATCTAATAATAATAATAATAATAATAATAATAATAATAATAAAGAAGGGTAAAAGGTAAAGGTTTCCCCTTGACATTAAGTCTAGTCATGTTCTAGTCTGGGGGTTGGTGCTCATATCCATTTCTAAGCCCAAGAGCCGGCATTGTCCTTAGACTCCTCCAAGGTCATGTAGCCAGCATGACTGAATGGATTGCCGTTAGCTTCCCACAGATGTCAATGTTGCAATCACAGCAGAATTGATAAGAAGCAACTGTAAAAGCTGACAAAATATGAGGGTTTAGAGTCCAAACTGCAAAGACTGGCACAAGCCAGTCAAGGTGATTGGCACACTGGGTGCAGTGCCTCAAGACCTTGGCGTGCACTTAAAAACAATCGGCGCTGTGTACTAATCTTGTTATTGTGTACTAATCTTGTTGAGTATCTAATAATAATAATAATAATAATAATGTGGTTTTGTGTCAATAAAATAATAATAATAATAATAATAATAATAATAATAGAGTGGCATATGTAGTCCTCACAATCTCTGAGGATGCCTGCCATAGATGCAAGTGAAATGTCAGGAGAGAATGCTTCTGGAACATGGCCATACAGCCCGGAAAACTCACAACAACCCAGTGATTCCAGCCATGAAAGCCTTCGTCAGTACATAGAACTAATGCAGTTTGGCACCTCTTCAACTCCCTTGGCTCAATACTATGGAATCCTGGGAGATGTAGTTTGGAACGGCATCCTCCTTCTTCAGCAGAGAAGACAAAAGACCTTGTAAAACTACAACCCCCAGGTCTCCTTAGCAGTTGGGGTCAAACTTCATTCATTCTACAGTGTAGTTGATGCACCTATAGTGTACTAATAAGGCTCTATGTGATGCATTGCAAAATGTTTGCTGTTTTTTGTAGGTGACTGGGAGGCGTCTTTGGAAGAATGTCTATGACATGTTGGGGGGGAACCCAGGAAGCACAAGCGCCGCCACTTGCACCCGGAGGCACTATGAGAGGTATTATTGGGTGCCTCCCATTCTTGACCCCCTTTTCCTACCAGAAAGGGATTTAGTCTCTTTGTCCTGTTGTGTTCTCTTTGTCCTACATCAGCTCAATGCCATCAAAATCTGGGATTGCCTGTAAAGTCAATGCAATTGATTCAACTTTCACTGTTGTGGCTCAATGTTGTGGATTGGTGTGAACTGTAGTTTTGCAACATCTTTCTCCTTGAGCCCTGATGCCTCAGCAAGCTACAATTACCAGTTGTGTATAGCATTGAGCTTTGTCTATATTAGCAGTTATGGGATGTATACATTTTTGAGACACCTTACGTACGAGTGTGCATGCATGTGTGTGTATACACACATACATGCACATATTTGTATGTGCATTATATTATTATTATTATTAACTTTATTTATACCCCGCAAAATCTCCCGAAGGACTCAATACAGCTTACAAAGGCCGAGGCCGCCAACAACAACATACAATACGCAGTAAAACTCATAAGCAAATAATAAAACATCAAGCAAAACAGAAGAACAGTAAAACAATGACACCGTTTATATATAATATTATATAGACATATATATGTATATATATAGATATAATGCAGTGTGTAATAAATATGTGTGTATAGACACATTGACATACAAATGTGTGTGTGTGTAAAATACTGTGTGTGTAAAATGTATGTGTGTGTACATATAGACACATATGCACATACATATATGCAGTGGGTTAAAGCGCTGAGCTGCTGAGCTTGTTGACTGAAAGGTTGCAGGTTCGATTCTGGGGAGCAGCGTGAGCTCCCGCTGTCAGCCCCAGCTTCTGCCAATCTAGCAGTTTGAAAACATGCAAATGTGAGTCGATCAATAGGTACCGCTCCGGTGGGAAGGTAACGGTGCTCCATGCAGTCATGCTGGCTACATGATCTTGGAGGTGTCTATGGACAACGCCTGCTTTTCAGCTTAGAAATGGAGATGAGCACCAACCCCAGAGTCAGACACAACTGGATTTAATGTCAGGGAAAAACTTTTACCTTTATATATAATACAATGTGTTTAATATGTATGTGTGCACATATATTTAGATATAAATACACATACATATATATGTGCATGTGTGTGTGTATATATATTTGATACAGTGTGTGTAATATGGATGTATGTACATATAAATAGACAAATATACATATATATGTGTGTACATATATCAAATACAGTGTTTGTAATATGTATTTGTGTGTATATATATACACACATACATATGTGCATGTACACATATATGTAATACTATGCATGTACATATATAGACAGATACATATGCACATACATATATATATATATACACGTGCGTGTATACATATATATGTGTGTATATATTACAGTGTGTGTAATATTTAGGTGTGTACATATACACACATACATATATAATACAGTGTGTGTAACGTGTGTGTACATCACATACATACACATAAATATATGTATGTATATATGTGCTTATTTATTTACATTATTTATATTCCGCCCTTCTCACCCTGCAGGGAACTCATATATGGCAAATATTCAATGCCAAAGACACACAACAGATATAGACAAACAGTCAGAGGCTATTTAACTTTTTCTGGCCACCAGGGGAGCTGTCGCTTTCATCGTCCATCTGCGACACTGATGAAGTACTTCTGCATTCCCCGCATGCTTTTGTGTTTTTATGGCCTTGTAAATTTTGTTAAATTAGCCTCCCCACACGTAGGTGGTACCTAATTTTCTTACTTGACAGATGCAACTCTCTTTCGGGTTGCAAAGGTCGACAACAAGCTACACAATTGATCAGAAGCTCACGCTGACCTGGGCTGGCTTCGAACTCATGACCTTGTGGTCAAAAGTGATCTTAATGCAGCTGACACTCAGACAGCTGCGCCACAGTCCCGGTGCATACACGTGTGTACGTATATATTATATATGTACAGAGAGAGAGAGTACTGTGTGTGTAACATCCACATATATACAGTGTGTGTGTAATATCCACATATATACAGTGTGTGTGTAATATCCACATATATACAGTGTGTGTGTAACATCCACATATATACAGTGTGTGTGTAATATCCACATATATACAGTGTGTGTGTAATATGTATGTGTGTATATATGCACACAAACATACACACACATATATACTTCTCTCCCCCCCCCCCAATTCTTTTTCATATTTGGTTCTGCTTCTTGATTAGATTGTCCCTATTAAAACATAATGATGATGATTATGATTATGATGACGACGACAATGACAACCTGTCAGGAGCTGGTCTATTCCATGTGGCATTCTCCATGCCTGCAAAACAGCCCTCCAAGGTGGCACTGTTTGCCTTGATACAAGTACAGTGGGGCTTCAGCCGCACAGTTATTTCTAAATTCATCTCTTTGGCCTGTGTTTTTCCAGGCTGGTCCTCCCTTACGTCCGGCACTTGAAAGGCGAAGACGACAAGCCCTTGCCTCCCGTCAAACCCCGGAAGCAGTACAAAGTCTCCAAGGAACCGAAGGGGGAGCGAGGGAACGAGAAGAAAAGGGCGAAGAAGGAGAAGGTAGAAGCGAGAGCTCGAGTTGTGTGTTTCCTGCATGGCAGGAGGTCAGAGTACATGACCTTTGGGGTGTCCCTTCCAAGTCCTGGGATGTGAAAGAAGAATTAAAAAAATGCTACAAAACACCAGCCTTTTTAGGCCAGGACTGCCCTCTGGCGGTTGACCAGGAAAGGCTGTGTGCTTTTAGAGATTTTTGCCTTGATTACTACTTTCCGTTTCCTGGAAAACAGCAAATGCAGTGTTTACTTTTATTTTTAGTGTGGCTCAAAGTCTTATCAAAGGTGTGGAAAGCATTTTCAAGATCCAGTGTTTTAAAAGCTGAATTCAAAACCCTGACCTATTATTATGGGTGAACTACAATTGACATCATACCAGGTTAACCCCGAGAAATACTTAAAGTAATTAAAGTTGGTTATGTTGGTCAAGTTTGCTCTAGATGCATCATCAGTGGAGTTCAGTGTGTTCTCTAGCTTCAGGGTAAACTACAACTCCCACTATGGCGAGTCAGTCCCCTCAAACCCCTCCAGTAGATTCAGTTGGTCATGGGGATTTTGTGTGCCAAGTTTGGTCCAGGTCCATCACTGGTGGTGATCACAGTGAACACAGGATGTAAGTGAACTACAACTCCCAGAAAGGAAGGTCAGTTTCCCTCAAATCCCTCCAGTATTCAAATTTCAGCATATCAGGTATGTGTGCCTAGTTTGGTCCAAATCCATCGGTATTTGGTTTCACAGTGCTATCTGGATGTAAGTGAACTACAACTCCCCCAAAGCAATTTGAATTTTCCCCAAAGACTGCCAGTATTTTTTGCTGGTCATGGGGGCTCTGTGTGCCAACTTTGGTCCAATTCCATCTTTGGTGGAGTTCAGAGTATTCATTGATTGCAGGTGAACTATACATCCCAGGACCCACAACTCGTAAAAGTCCAGGCCAATTCCCCTCAAAACCCACCAGTATTCAAATTTGGGCATATTGGGTAAGCATACCAAGTTGGCCCAGATTCATCATTGTCTGGGTTCATAATGTGCTCAGGATGTAGGTTAAGTACAACTCCTATCAATCCCTCCAAAGACCTCCAGTATGTTTTGTTGGTCATGGGGCTTCTATGTGCCAAGTTAGTCCCAGGTCCATTGTTGGTGGAGTCCAGAGTGCTCTTAGATTGCAGGTGTACTATACATCCCAAGACCTACAATTCCTATAAACCATGGGGAATTCTCCCCAAACCTCTCTAGTATGTTCAGTTGTTGATCAATTTCTCTCTTTGCTGTGTGTCATAGAAATAATAATAATAATAATAATAATAATAATAATAATAATAGTTGTTATTATTAATCAATTTTATATACCACCACTCCCCGAAGGCTCGGAGCAATTTACAATATACACATGTGATACATTATATATAAGATCAAGAAAAAACTTTGATCAACAAAATTCAAATGAATAGGAAAGGGTTATGGAAGAGGCAGTGGGCGGGGTCATGCAAATTCCACACCATGGAGAGAACAGAAACACTGGGATGTCTGTGGTAGAGGAAACACATACAATTGAGGATGGAACTGTCCCCGTATGAAAGCCTTCACTTGGATGGTGGGAAGTATGGTGTTTGTGGAGGACATTGGCAGGGCTCTTGGACATGTTCATGATGCTCTCTATAGATTATAATTATTATTATATTTATTTATACCTTCGCAGTGCAATATTAATGACACCAATCATTTCTCAAGCTGATTTCCTTTTGGTTGTAGGTACTCCAAGAGAAGCTGAAAACAGACGTTGTTGTGGCTTCGGCTGGCAACTCCTCCAACTGTATTCAGCAAAGTCAAGAAGAAACGGAGGGCCACTCTGTTCTGGCAAATGGCTGGGAGACATCTGAGAGCCGACCCGTGGATGGCTGCAATTGCCGTGGTTCTGGCTCCTCCGAGGCCTACAAGCGCCTCTTCTCCAGCTTCTACTTCAAAGGGAACCATGGCATCATGTCCCCCTTGGCCAAGAAGAAACTCTTGGCCCAGGTGAGCAAGGACGAGGCCTTGTGCAGACACCTCAGCGACTGCCCGCAGTACAAGAAGCCTTGGGTTCACGAGGTCCCTGTTTCGAACGCGGAAACTAATACCAAGACCCACAAAGAGGGACCAAACAATGGGCTGGAAGACTTGGAGGGGCCGGGGACGCCAAATGGTTCCTCCCAGCTCTCAAAAGAAAACGGAGGCATCTCCAAGGTCTCTCCGACAATCAGGACTAGCCAAAGAGTGGACGATGGGAGCTCTGGGGGCCACCCTTCGCCATCCTTTCGAGGCTCTTTCTACTCATCCCGAAGCGACATTGTGAAACCGGTGAGTTGCCACCCAATCCGTGGACCGTACTTTACAACTTTGAGGGAGCACTCCGAGTCTTCCTATTTGCCATCAGTTCAGAAAAGGCTGGACGGCACCGAGGAGCAACCGGAAGATCTCCGCAAACGACCGAGTTTGTCCTCTTGGAGAAGCGACTCCCAGCAGCCCTCAGCTTTCCAACCGAGCAGTTCCGGCGGTCAGCGAGGCTCTTCGTTTACCGAAAATAAGACATCTTGGGTGACCAACTTGGCAAAAGTCAGCCCTCAGGTGTCGAAATCTTCCGGATCGTCCCTTCCTCCGAGTTTGGTCCAGAAGAAACGAGCCTTGGAAGAAGAGGTCCTCCGGCACGGCAAGAAGCTCAAAGCCGTCTCCCCTTTTGTTGCAGATGTCGACTCCCCGAACGGTCAGCATGGATCAACCAAGACCGCCGTTCCGAATCCCTGCTTCTCGGCTCCTCAGGTTCCGGAGATGTACAAAGGGACGATGCTGCGGTTGCCGGTGAACTTTGACAACGCCGGTGACCGCTCAAAGGGACAGCCGCCTTCCCTCGTCCCGTCTCTCTCGGTCAGCCCCTTTCTCATCCCCGCTTTCCCGACTCCCATATTAACTGCCTCGCTCCAGCCCTCGGACCTTTGCCATCCTGTTGCGTCCGGCCTCATCCACTACCCCACCTCATATGACGGCACCCTGCGCCACCGGCTCTATCCAGTTTCAACGTGGCACAGCCAGCCCTCCTATGCCACGTCCCACATCCCTGCTTATCACCGGAACACCAAGCTGTAGCCACAGATTAAGTTTGCATCCACACTGACCATTTAATGCTGCTCCAAGCTGGTATTTAAGAAAGCAGTTTCGCTGTGCAGACGACAACATTTGTTTGAGGCTGGGATGATGATGACACAATCCACACAACACGGATACACACTGAGAGCTTTCATCTGCACTCTTGTATGGGAATCAATAGAATTACCACTTAGGAGAACAGCCAGGAGTTGCAGCCCAGCCAGATCTGGAGCTGATGGGATTTGGAGTCTGGTCATCTCTAGGGCTAATAACCAAAGTAGTAGTAGTAATAATAATAATAATAATAATAATAATAATAATAATAATAATGATGATGGATGGTATCCTTGAAGTGACTGGATTGACCTTGAAGGAGCTGGGGGTGGTGATGACCGACAGGGAGCTCTGGCGTGGACTGGTCCGCAAAGTCACAAAGAGTCAGAAACGACTGAATGAATGAACAACAACAAAATAATAATGATGGGTTGTTGTGTGTTTTCCAGGCTGTATGGCCGTGTTCCAGAAGCATTCTCTCCTGATGTTTCACCTGCATCTACGACAGGCATCCTCAGAGGTTGTGACCTCACAACATCTGAGAATGCCTCCCGTAGATGCAGGTGAAAGATCAGGAGAGAATGCTTCTGGAACATGGCCATACAGCCCRGTAAACACACAACAACCCAGTGATTCTGGCCATGAAAGCCTTCAACAGTATAATAATAATAATAATAATAACAATAATAATAATAATAATAATAATAATAATAATAATAATTTGCCACTCTGCTCTGGCAGAGTACATAACAACACCAGGGCCCCCAGGTGGTGCAGTGGGTTAATCCACTGAGCTGCTGAACTGGCTGACCAAAAGATTGGCAGTTCAAATCAGGGGAGTGGGGTGAGTTCCTGCTGTTATCCCCAGTTTCTGCCAACCTAGCAGTTTGAAAACACGCAAATATGAGTAAATCAATAGGTACCCTTTTGGCAGGAAGGTAACGGTACTCTATGCAGTCATGCCAGTGGCCACATGACCTTGGAGGTGTTTATGGACAACGCCGGCTCTTCTGCTTCGTAATGGAGATGAACACCACCCCTCAGAATTGGATAAAAGTAGACTTAATGCCAAGGGAAACCTTTACCTTTACCTTTACCTACATAACAACACATCACACATGCAGAGTAGGTTCAAGTGTCTGTGATTTGTCTCTGAATATTGAGCTCTTCTAAAGGGCCTAGGATATTAGAGGTATTTTCATAGTATATTTGTATTATTATTATTATTATTATTATTATTTCTTACCCACTTCTCCTCAAGGTTCGAGTTAGAATCATATAATAATCATATAATAGTAGAGTTGGAAGAGACCATAAGGGCCATCCAGTCCAATCCCTTTCTGCCAGGCAGGAGCACCATCAAAGCCCTCCCAACAGATGGCCATCCAGCCTCTGTTTAAAGACCCCCAGAGAGCAATTACACCAAAATCCATTCCATTTTTAATGTTTTCTTGAATGAATCTTTGAGTTTTAAGAGTCCCCAAGGATCATCCAAGTCCAGCCCCCTTTTGCCATAAAGGAAGGCACTATCCTGGCCCTTCTGACAGATGACCATTTAATCTCTATGTAAAGACCTATAGAGAAGAGATGCCACCAAACTTTGATTCAACATACTCAGCTCTTACAATCAGGGACCATCAGGAAGGTGAAACCTGCTTCGAAGTGCATTAAATGGTCAGTGTAGATGAGGCCTTGGTAGAACTGCAGCTGTGCTGCACATCAGTGTTTTGGACTCTCCTCTTATTCAGACTGTTCTCTCTGTGTTAGAAGAACAGAAGGACAACACAGTTCGGACCACGTAATCCTCTTTTCAAAAAACCGACCAGGCTTGAACTATGGACTTGTATTTCTATCCAGTATGATATGTTCAATATCTTGTGCTTTGATCAAATAACAATTACCCCAATTGGGAACAAAGTTCATATAAACAGAGATTTAATTATCCGTGATAGTTTTGGACTCCATTTTATTCCAGACTAGCTTGCGTACCCGGCGTTGCTCAGGTTATTTGAAAAATTCAATTTTGTAATTTTACACAACGCATACGGTTGTGGGTGAACTACAACTCACACCATGCCTGGTTAATCCCCTGAAACTTCATCAGTACTTAAAGTTTGTTGATGGTGTTGCAACTCAGGGTAGTTTTCACCTTGCTCCTAGACACCACCACACCAAAGCTGTAGGTTTTGTAGTTTATTGAGAAAAAGTATAAGAAATGCAAAAGTTCCATAGGCAGGACAAAGGCTTAAATGCAAAGACAAAGTTCCCAAGATCCAAAGGCAAAAACATGAAGCATAATCCCTTAGCAATGGTCAAACAAGCGTCCATGGAAAACAGTTGAAAACAAGACCCAAAGTTGAAAACAAGACCCAAATCCCAGACTCAGGAAGCCAGAAGCGTGCTGCAAAAAGCCAAAGTTAATCCACAAAAGTTTGCATGGGAAGAGCTCCGTTGGACTGACAACCCTTGCTTGTCAGCTACAAGGCTAAATACCCTTTGCAGACATGAACGCATTGCGTTGACCTTTGGCACCCTTAGCTTCTCGCTTGCTAGCCAAGCGAGTGCTTCTTCGGAGCCTTAATTGCAGACGATCTTGCCTGCTCATTAATTCATTATCTTCAAGGCTATGTAACCCCTTATCTTGGTCCAGCTAGACCTGATCACTGTGAGGAGGAAAAGACTTCTCCACCTGGCCGTGTGGGATTTCACTCTCATTATCAGTCTCACTAACATTCCTTTCCCCTGGGAACTGACTTGCTGTTTCTCCTCCAGCAGCCCCACTGTCAGCCCTGTCTGAAGCATGTACAGATATCTATAACCCATCAGTCTCCTCATCATCCTGTAGGATTTCTGGCTCAGAAGGCCCGAAGAACTCAGCTTCAGACTCAGAGTCAAGCTGAGTCACAACAGTTGGGCAAGTTTGCTCTCAATGCATTATCAGTGGGGTTCAGTGTGCTCTCTGGCTGCAGGGTAAATTACAACTCCCGCTATGGTGAATCAGTCCCCTCAAATCCCTCCAGTAGGTTGAGTTCATCAAGGGGGTTCTGTGTGCCAAATTTGGGCCAGGTCCATTGTCGATGGAGGTCACAGTTTCCCTGGCTGTGGGCGAACTACAGCTCCCAGAAAGGAAGGTCAGTTCCCGCCAAACCCCTCCGGTAATCAAACTTTGGCATATATCAGTAATGTGTGCCAAATTTGGTCCAGATCTGTTGCTGTTTGGATTCATAGTACTCTCTGGATGAAGGTGAACTACAACTCCACCAAATAAAGGTGGATTTTCTCCAAAGACCTCCAGTATTTATTTTTTTTGCTGGTCATGGGGGCTCTGTGTGCCAACTCATGATGGCTGCCTCCCTGGCATTCCCTCCCAAAATGGAGGCCTGCCTTACTGTTATCCAGACTCCCTTTCCGGCCTACCAGGTAAGATTCAACACACCCCAGCCACACACACTCATACACATTTTCACTTTTATTATGTGTATAGATTATTATACAATGTTCTGAATAACCATTTATACTGCAAATATGGCTAGCCTTCCAGGCATTAAGGTTACCAGAGGGTTGGAGAGCTTCACTGATGCAAAACATGGTCCTAAGCCAATATGTATTGTATGACCCTCCAATATTTGTGGATCGAGTATCCACAGTGTTACTTACCCAGGTATATGTTCTCCAGCATGATTCTATTTTATAATTTTTATTTATTTATTTATTTATTCAAACTTATATGCCGCCACTCCCCTGGGGCTCGGAGCGGCTTACAAGAACAGGCTAAAATCTAACACAATTTAAAAACAATTTAAAACAACAATATCAAAGATCAAAGGCCTGTCGAAACAGATATGTCTTACATGCCCTGCGGAAAGCTGATAGGTCCCCCAAGGCACGGACTTCAGGTGGCAGAGTATTCCAGAGTGATGGTGCCACTGCTGTAAAGGCTCTGCGTCTGGTTGCTGTTAGACGCAAGGTCTTGACACTGGGAATTTCCAACAAATCTTGGTCCTCTGAACGGAGGGATCTCTGGGGTTGGTAGGGGGAGAGGCGGTCCCTCAGGTACATCTGCCCCAGCCCATTCAAGGCCTTAAAGGTGAGTACAATCACTTTGAAAGTGATCCGGTGCTCAATTGGTAACCAGTGCAGCTGCAGTAAGATTGGTGTTATGTGGCATCTCATCGGAATTCCCGCAAGAAGCCGAGCAGCTGCATTTTGTACCAACTTGAGCTTCCGGATCACCGACAGAGGAAGGCCAATGTAGAGAGCGTTACAGTAGTCCAGTCTTGAGATGACCGTGGCCTGGATCACCGTAGCTAGGTCGTCCCTGGACAGGTAGGGGGCCAGCCGTCTAGCCTGCTGCAGATGAAAGAAGGCGGTTCTGCTAACGGCGGAGACCTGGGCCTCCATCGTCAGCAGAGGGTCCAAAAGGATTCCCAGACTCTTTACCAATGATGACGGGCGTAGCGCCTCGCCATCCAGGGTAGGCAGCTGGATATCCCCACTGCCCGGTTGACCCAGCCATAGGATCTCCATCTTTGCTGGATTCACCCTCAACCTGCTGGCACGCAGCCATCCAGTCATGGCCTCGAGGCACTGATGGAAACAATCGGGTACAGAGTCCGGTCGGCCTTCCATCTTCAGCACCAGCTGAGTGTCAGCATACTGGTAACACTCAAGCCCAAAACCTCGAACCAGCAACAGAGGTTGCAATAGATGTGAAAAGCAATGGACAAATATCGATATTACATCATCTCTGCTTTCTCCCTCCCTGTAATGTCAGGATTTCCTTAATACTTCTGCAGCCACACGATGGCAGTGTCTGCACTTGCATTTACATTTGAGAACACACACACACACACACACACACACACACACACACAATCGAATAACAAAATTAGCCAAAGCACCTAATTTTACTACAAAAAAACTGGGAAAATGTATTGACTCAAGTATAAACCGAGTGTGGAAAATGCAGCAGCTACTGGTACATTTCAAAACAATAGATAGATACCAATAAAGTTACATTAATTGATGCACCAGTACAGTGGTTCTCAACCTTGCTAATGCCGTGACCCCTTAATGCTGTTCCATATGTTGTGGTGACCCCCCAACCATAATATTGTTTTCGTTGCTACTTGATACCTGTCATTTTAGTATGGTTATAAATCGTAATGTAAATATCTGATATATTTTCATTCACTGGACTAAATTGAGCACAAATACCCAATATGCCCAAATGTGAATGCTAGTGGGGTTGGGGGATTGATTTTGTAATTTGGGAGTTGTAGTTGCTGGGATTTATAGTTCACCTATAATCAAAAAGCATTCTGAACTCCACCAGTGATGGATTTAAACCGAACTTGGCACAAAGAACTCCCATGACCAACAGAAAACACTGGAAGGGTTTGGTGGGCATTGACCTTGAGTTTGGGAGTTGTAGTTCACCTACATCCAGAGGAGCACTGTGGACTCAAACAAGGATGGATCTGGACCAAACTTGGCACGAATACTCAGTATGCCCAAATGTGAACACTGGTAGAGTCTGGGGAAAATAGACCTTGACATTTGGGAGTTGTAGTTGCT